GTAACAGCGGTCAGACTGACATGTCCCCGGTGCGAAGGAAGGGCGGTCGGCTGTGCGGCTTTTGGTAAATTGAGCGGTTGGGAGACAGAGGAAGCCCCTGCTTGAAAGTGATGGCGGACATGCGTGGACTCTGAATTACGCGCGGCGGCATGCACGAACGACTTAATGAAGTTGGAACTGGAACGTCCCTGGTCATAAAATGGTTAGGGTTGAGAATGTGGTACCGTACACGCTTGAAATTGAAAGCGAGGTGCGAACATCCTGAAACACATGCAACACAAACATGAAAGTGGATTCCGTGAATTCCGTGAAGCCCGGCGGCGTAAAGTGCAGGGAATACAAAGGTGAGACCAAATCAGTTAAGAGAACCCAATGTATGGTGGAAACGGTGAAGTCTGTTACACGAATTCCGGAGTGAAAGCAGCCTCCTTGCGGAGGATCACACCCAGCACCCAAGTGGGACGGCTGAGCGAGTCACATACTGACATTGGTTTTCAGTTAACTCAATTCCCCGGAAAAATGGCGATGGAACGGAAAGGTGGAAGGGTCAGCGCACTTGGAATGTTGAACAAAGTTTGTTGCATGACTGCAGCCGGACAACAGTGGAAATCGGCTCATCAGCTAGAGAAAGGTTTGGGGGAGTATCGCGCAAACCACCATGGAAGCAAACCAAGGAAGATTAGGGTCACAGCGTGGTCAACAGTTTGGAACAAGTACACAGTGGGGCGTCCCCCACTGCATCAGCACCTACTGGCATCCTCTTCGTTGGACGGGAAATGCCAGTGGTGTCCCGTCCCCCTGCGTGGAAACTGCGCAATGAAAATTCAGTGCCCCTGGATACGGGGGTTGACACACACACACACACACCCACCTGCTGGTGTTTTCTGTGCACGGGGTATCGGTGTATATGAGTAGTAGTAAATTCTCGCACCAAAATTAATGTCTGTGCTAAGTTCATTTTCATTGCGACTCGGGTGTGTTAACAAATAACGAAACACTCTTCTATCAAACAGCTCATTGACCTTGAGCAGTTTTTCATCAACTCTGAACCAGCCACCTAAGGGCTGCCGAGCATGCCGCCTTACCTTCCTGTCCTTCCATGTCCTTCCATCCGGCTTTGGCCAATCGTGGGCGTTCCTTTCTGCTTGGGGAGACTGCAGCCATGAATGCACAAGGGTTTTGAGAAATAGCTAAAGTCAAAGCGACAACGGCGGTACTTTGTGCTGGGGCTCATCCGCTCGCCGCCATGAACTATGTAAGACTATGTAAGGTCCGAACACACGTGTAGCCATCGTCATCGTCCTCCGGGTCTAAAACCTGTGCTGCACACTGGGAACTGCTCCCAGAATGTCATGACTTGTCACTTGTCGGCCTCTTCCAAACAACCTCCCAGGCAACGACGTCTTTTGGAAGAAGGACGGTTGCTGTCGGAAAGTAGGCACGTGAACCCGGGCCAACACTGTCTCTTAACACCAATTATCAGCAAGCGGCTTACCCTTTTGCATCGGTCACTCCGGCCTCAGGAGCCGAGTAGGTGGAGGTTCCGACTGAGCTCTTCATGCGGCCCTGCTCGAAGCTTCCAGCCAAGCCCCAGTCGATGACCTGGTCAAAGTGTTTGGGCATGTCTGGGCCCACTGGAAAAAACGACATCAGGACTCAAAACCTGCAGGTCCTTTGCTCCTTCAAAATCCCGACGTTTGTCTTGGAGCTATTTGAAGGAGGCTGCTCAAGATCCCGACGGATAAACAATCTGTTTGATTCTTTTGGTCCATGCGGCGCTAAAAGGAAAGGGGGAGTTTTGCTGATGACATAAACGTGGAAAGCAATTCGTGTTGATGGAGGAAATCCTGAACCCTAAAAACAACATTTTCATCATCAAGACCTTGGTGTTCCCTATTTCAGCTGCAGGAGCCCCCTGCCAACAGTTGGGCTGCAATGACGATGCACAAGCCGCGACGATGCACCAACCAGGTTAAGGTTCATTAGCTGATCTACGAAGCAAAACCTAGTTGCCAGCTACCAGTTCAGCTTATATATGTCTTCGCAACCTTGGCAAAAATGAGTGTTGAGGAAACTTTTGTGGCAGTATCGTGAGAAGAGCAGCACCGCCACCCAATGTGATCCTAGGTCCTAACTGTAAGTGTGCTGTCCATGACCTTACTTTACAATCGCAGAATCACCCACCTGTGCTGAAACTACACCAAAGACGAGGCGCTTTGATATGAGTGCTGGTGGGCGACTGCTCGCAGAAACAAATGTTCTCCAACTTCAAGTCCTCGGCTGCGGCGGAGATTGTTGCCGTCTGCGGTTCAAACGAACGCTTCGAACGGTTGGTTGCCACACACGGACACGAGAGCTCTCTCATTTTGACCGAGGACCAAATGAAGACCTTGCGAGAGCCATAGACTCCACCATGTGAGGGTGGGTCAAAACTAGAGCTGGGCCTTTGACCCAAATCTCAACTCCGGCAGGGTTTCAGCCTCATGTGAGTCCTGAACTGAGCCAACCTGCCTTTCGGCCTTTGCCGAGCAAAACTGAGGATGTTTGCTTTGAACACCTCCCAGCGGGGATGGAAGAAGCACTGTACAAATCAAAACTCAAAGCTAGGAAAACTATCTTGGGCTTGAAAACCTTGGTTCGATATATAACTCCTCAATTGACCAACCAACAGCACTTTGCTTTGGCCCAAGCTAGGTGACACAGGAAGGTCCACGCAGATCTTGTCATCTCTGCCCCAAAAACACCAAGGCACGTGGAACGGATCAAACTCCGGGACACTGTGTGGCCATGCCTGCGTGTTCGGCTGAACAGCCACATGTCTCCCAAAGCCCCTCACCTCAGAGCCGTGGAGCCACCAGGGAGAGAAAACCCCAACCCCCCCCCCATAACGAAACCCACTGGTTGGATATGAAACCCACCGGTTTGCCCACCAGGTTGCAATGGCAGTCAAAAGGAGCTCCGTAGGTGGACCATGTCTCTATGATCTTCAGCAATGATGATCGGACACCGAAGACGACTAGGATGAGTGCCAGCAAGCATTCGAGAGCAATGAGAATCCATTCCTGACATCACACAGAACATCTCCCAACCTGATCATCATTAACAAATTGTTGAAGTGCTCGGGGATTCTTTGCCTATCCTATCCACTCAGTTCAGTATTTGTCTCAGCTCTTTGATCGAGTTACACTAGTCAATAAAACACTATATAGATTTAGATTCACTGGCAACCGTGGTGTTTGAAATCCAGCATGGCATAGCCACATGGCAAGTAGAATGCATTTCTAAGGTTTTCTTTGGTCCTACTGCTGTGCTTATTGGGGGTCAAGGTCCTGCAGTTTTGGCCCACAGTATCTCACAGTCAAATGTCGCTTTGAGTTTGAGGAACTGGCAGGCCAGCAATTTATGTATGGTAATGATCTGCACCAACCGTCTTGGATCCAAAAACGAAACGGAGCCAATTTCTTGGATGCCCTGGCTGTCCCTCCAAGGTTTTGTTCCAACAAAGAAAGGACCGGATAACCCCACATATGAGTCTTTACGAATCTTTTTCGACCATACGAAAGTCTCATCCGCTCAGGAGCTCTTATTTTTCTCACATTGGGGACGTGTACGGTGCAGCTGTGCTGCCATTTCATTTGGTATGGAAAACTCTGAAAAATTCACTCCTTACACTTCTGTACAACAAACTTATTGGACCAGACTTATCACTTTTAATTATGTCAGACTACCCGAATTTGCCCCCATCTCTCGTAGTCCAGGTCAAGCTCCACCTTGACATAGTCGAGCATTGAGTCTAGCAAATCCCATCGGAGCCTCGAGGGTGCATCAGCGATGTTACTTGGGGATGGTACCCTGGTGTGCCAATTTAGGCTGTTGTTGCTAGCGTCCTGAAGCATTGCCTCGATCAACATCTTTCTACAAGCCTCAGACTTGGTTACTCCAGCCACTAACGCCTCCTTGACACCTTCGTTGTCAATGAAGTACAACGCTCTCGCACCTCTGAGGAGTTGAGGGAAATGCCTCTTGATAATCACTATGGGCAACATTTCGGCCTGTGCAATAACATGCTCGTGCCCAAACCCTTGCCATTCATCAACGATCTTTGGGGGGATGTTGAACCCGAAGGCTAATGGTGATTCTGTCCGTGGAGACAGGACCACTGCACCGCAGGAGGCAGTGCCCCCTTCATACGCACCATCCGTGAAGATCAGGCACGGCGTCTCCTTGTTCACCGCCTCCAATCGTCTCGGGGGAGCAGTCCTCAACAGATCGGCTGACAACCTGAGTGCTTTGCGAATCTCACTTGTCACCCCTCTAACACTTCTACTCATCAGGGCCCTCTGCTTCACGGGGCCCATGAGGGGCGCCAACCACCTCCCACTGCACTGTGCCTCTGCAAAGTTCAATCTGCCATACACCTTAGCTGCCGTGGCTGCTGGGAAGGACTGGACGGCTTCCATCTCCTCTATGGTGGCTTCCAACTCTTGCACTCTGTCCTCTTTGTTACGTACTATCACCACTCTCACTGGATTGACTCAAGTCTACCACCACACCCAAGACTACAAACTTCCTAGCCGGCGGGATCCTCTTCTTGGCCTCCTCTGCAATGCCCCAGCCCAAGGTGCGCATGGCCTCTTCCATGACCACCTGAGTCCTCACTACCATCACCTCTAGGTCGACATGCGGGAAGTCATCGAAGTAGTTGATCACTGGGATCAATAAGAACCTCTGCAGCACCTCTTTCAGCGCCCTGGCTGCCCGATTGAAGGCCATCACAGACCCCGTCGCTCCAAACGGGAGCACGTAAGAGATAAAGTACCTCACTTCATTGCTTTGGGGGTCTAAGACTGCAATGACTGCACAGTTCCAGTCGGTTGGGGATAATGGCAGTTGCTTGTACGCAGCCTTGAGGTCAAGGCACCTACCACTAAGCTGCAGCTCTTTGCCTCTGAACTCCTCACCCTTTTGCCCCTCCAGCACCAACCCCGTGGACAACTCGACCCTGACTTGGTCATTCGCACCCCCAAACGTCCTCATCCATGCGGCTGCCAACGAGACTACCTCGTCAACTCCGCCAAGGTCCAACTTTTCACCTGGGCCGTAGCACTGATTGACCGCGAACTCGCTGAGGTCGTCTATGTTCCTCACCTTGGCTCCCTGCACTATACCGAACCTCCTACTTGGTGTCGATAGTGGGCCAACTTCTTCGGTCACCTGGCCTGCAGTGAAGGGTCCTGACAACCATCCCCTCTCCGCCTCTTTCAGGGTTGCCTCCCACACCTCATGCGCAACACTGACTTGGCTTCCTGCGACACTCGCCTGCCTGCCCTGCATGTGTCTTGGGACTCTGGTGGCCACCTCCTGCTGGGCTGACTTTGCCGCTCGCCATAGGTCTTCCCTGTCGAGCATTGGCGGCTTGCATTCGGGTGCAAAACAGCCGGTGACTCTGCCTTCACCTGTGATCCTCATGCCTTGACACATGTCCTCAACCAGGTGAGCATCCCCATAACCAACTGTCTGGATGAGCTTGGCTAGCGCAAGCAGTTTCTTGGGTGCCAGCACTTCAGCAACTTTAGTTTCCATGTTGGCGTGAAGCTCTTGCTCTTGTGTTTCGAGTTCTTGCACCCTCTGTTTCAACCACTTCAACCTACGAACTCTCTCTTCATGCACTTCTTGGGTGCCTTTGGTCAACACTTGAAACATGCTGTCGATGACGTGGTCTGGCGTCTGGAATGCTGTGTCAAACGGGTGTTGCAGCTGCTGGGCTCTCCGGACTGCCTCCATCGGTGTCATGGGAATGCCAAAAATTACTGACCTGCTTGCCCCGTCCCCGTGGTCTTCCCCCTCATTGGACGGTAAATGATGAACAATTCTGGTGCCTTCGGGGAAAACTCGGTCGGCGAGGGCGACCGCGGCTTTGGATCGGCCACTCCGGGCCAACACTTTGGCTACATCACGGGGTTTGTCCACGATGATGTCCACTTGTCCATCCTCCGGCAACATCGGCGGGGCACGTCGCCCCTTAGGCTGCTTGCCGGCTGCCAATTTGCAGGTGGTGGATGCCTGGTGGTGGGCAAGCGGGGTGGACCGAGGCTCAGGATGGACTGGTAGTTGTCGGTCACATGCACTCCTACTGATGATGGCTGCAATGCGTTGGCATAGCAACAACGGGTATTCTGCCTCACTAGCTGTGTCGTACTGCCACTTTCCGTTGAGTGTCTTGCTGACGGACCACCCTTTGTGCGTGTGATGTTTGTCGCACAGCACTCCCAACTGACACAGTTGCTTGCAATTGTGGAGGAGTGAGGTCTTCTTGTCCCTCTCTCCTCCGTGCATACACACTTGGAATGTGGTAAAGTACACACCTGCAAGCTGGAACAACTCCGCAATGCATGGAACCATCCACATATAACTATTGGTTGGATTCTCGATGAACACGTAGACTCCCTTGAGGTGACCGTACTTGAAAACTCGTGCTGCTGTGGCATAGCATGCGTTTGCTAACTCCACCCTAGTCAGGTCCGTTCCGTGTAGGTCTGGAAGCCCACTGGGGTACTGCGCGCTCCTCAGCGGTGGTGGCGATGGAACTCCTTGCCGCCGGAGCCAGGCGGGTATTGGTTTGTCTCTTGCACGTGACGCCGTACCACATGGCGGTGCCATAGGTATGAAGAACACGTCTCCTTCATCCACTTTAGCCTCAATAAAGTCTGCACTATTGCTACGTGACAAGTCTAAAACTATACGAGGTCCAACTCTGTTCTTGCACTTCTTATGGTCTACGCCTACGGCTGCAAAACCATGAGCTTTCAAACACTTACTTAACTTGCATGACCCGGCAAACAATTCAAACGTGCGTGGCACAACGCCCGCTGCGTTTTCACTCAGCCTGCCGGGATTGCTCCCGGGTTCTTGAAAAGTTTCTGTACATGGGGCGGAGCCCTCTTCAGCTCTCCTGATGGGCTCTGATTCCTGTGCTCCCGCGGGCGTGTCGCACGCCACTGTCGGCGCCTCGCCCGCATCTGCAGGTCACTGGGTGCACTGCATGGCGCCATGGCCTTGCTTCCAGCACTTCATGCAGGTATGCAATCCCTTCGAGCACTTTCCGTCTTTGCCGCTGTTGCAGTTGCCCAGGTGGTAGCCATAGCAAATGCGCTCTCCGTGCTTCATCGGGGACAACCCCCAAAGCTCTTTCGGCATCTTAATGGGCATTTTCTTTGGTGCCACTGCCTTGCTTGGCCCTGCATCGGCCAGCGCTGCCTTCGTCTTCTTGGTCTCCGCCTCACGCAGCCTCTCTTTCAGCTTGAGGTTCTCCTTCATCAGCTTCCGCTTCCCGGCCCCCGGCGCTGATTGCTCTGCCGCATGCGGTGCCTCGTCCTTCCCTGCGCTGCTCTTACTGCCCGGCAATGGCAGCAACAGGGTCATGAACGCCTTGTTTGCTATCACCCGGTCAATGGCGGCATCTGCCAAGCGCCTTCCTGTGGCATCTCTGCCGAGGTCTCCTTGAAGTTCTTCTGACATCAGCTTCCATGCCCTGCGATCTGCTGCTGCCACCTGGGCCAGCGTCACCGCCATGTAGCCCATTGGTGCCTCCCGCTGATACTCCTGGAACATCTTGTCGATCAGGCGCTCATGGGCGGTGAAGCTCATGACATCAGCAACTTCCAAGGCCAGTCCCCGCCTCGTGTAGGCTTGCCTCAACCTCAGGTCCGTGCGGGTGTCTGCCTCCGGCAACTTGGTCTCATCATGGGCCCTCAAGTGCCCGGATGCATCCTTCTTGATCAATTCCTCGGTCTTCACGTTCTGCAACTCCTGATCTCTTGTGGGGATCTCGTGCGGAGCCAGGTACTTCAGCTCGCCTTCAACTCGCATCGAATGGAACTTGTCCACGACATGATGCGCTGGCTCCAACTGGTCTGACAGTTGAAGGTGCCCATACATCGCCTTCAGTTGAGCCCACCTCGTCTTCCGCTCTACCGGTGGCAGCTTCCTGGTCTTTGACCCGTCTGCTTCTTGGGTCCCCTCCAGGCGGCTACGGAGCTCAGCTGCCACGATCGTGTAGGCCTCATGGTAGAGCTTCCTCAACTTCGGGAGATCTGCATGGTCTCCTGCCCCAGTCAGCGGCCGCGCCACCTGCTGGATGAATGCCTGATCATCTCCTGACCCAGGCGACCAGCTGCTGGCAAATGCAAAGGTGCTCATAGTCGTCCAACCTCTGCGTGTCATCTCATCTTTGTAGCCCTCGAGCCCCATGTCCTTGAGCTTCGCCTCGAAGACCGCTTGGGATTCGGTCAACGTCGCCATGGCTCTGCTCGGGTTTTCACCACTAACGCTCGGCCTCACGTCACTTCGGCATTCGCGCCACCTCACAATTCACTTGCTGCACCTCACAACTCTCTACTACACATACCTTTACCATGACTCTCTCACTTCACATATTCCTACCCACACTTGCTTTCTATCGCGCGTCGCTCGCCCCGGCAGTCCTTTGCACCTGACTTCGTTCTGCAGGACCACCCTGCTCCACTTGACCTGGCCGGACTACCCGGCGTCAGGTCAAATGCACTTGGGAACAACTCCCTGCGGCGTACTCCATGCATCACTTGGCCGGTCTATGATGGTCACTTGCGACATCCGGTCCTCCATCCTTTGTTGCCACATTGGCTCACTTTTTGCTCGCTGACAGTGCGTCCTTCACCTTGTGTAGCCTTCACACACTTTACACTTACTTCCCCAGGCATGGACTTCATAGTCCAACTTCACCACGACGGCGGAGATCACTCTGCCACATGCCAGCTTGCCCGGGATCACACTTCCACTATGCACAGTACCTGTGAGACCATGCCTGTACAACTCTGCTGTGGCTTTCTTTGGTGGCCCGAGTTTGGCTGTGACAACTGCCTCGAGGTTTCTCTCATCTTCACTCTCGCGGTCCTCCGACTCTTCCTCACTGCTCTCACTTGTCACCTCGGCCAGCTCCACCAACCTGTGCGTCGGCTTGCCTGGAGACTTCACCTCGAGCATGTCCCACTGACCTTCGGGGATCAGCACGTCGTCGCCATCTGGCTCCACTTCCTGACCTTCCTCACTTGGAAGAACCGGTGACTTGACCCAGCGTTGGTTCCGGGGCGCGTCCGGCTTGAACTTGCCTGTGTAAATGTCTGTGATCACATTCGTCAGGATGTCTAGTCCCTCGGCCAGTGCGTCCCTGCTGTAGATCACCACACTCTTGTCCTTGGGCTTGACATGGTACCCCAGCAACCTTCGCACTTTCTCTGGGGCCATGGCTTTTGCAAGCCAAGACAGAGCCGTCGCCTTCATGGAATGAGCACCGACATCCCCCAACTTCTGGGGGTAGATGGCATACTTCTGCAGCATTTCACACAGCCAGATGGATGCCTCGGGCGTCGACAACCTTGCCTGGCTCCACCCACCTCCAGGCACTGGTGTTGGTAGGAACGGGCGTCCCGGCAGCGCTCTCAAACCAGACATGTTCCTCAGCTTGAGCAACTCCTCCGCCCATTGGACACCTGTCACACCTTGGCACGGTGCAACCACCGGGAGAACTCTCCTTGCCCTGCCAACCAGCGCGTCTGTCTTGTGAATGCTTGTACCACCTTCGAGGTACCCTCCATCGACCGTTGGCTCAGAGTCAATACCTTGGAACCTCAACCTACCATACACACATAGCAAGCAGTGCCCAGCGAATACTCGATCTTGGAGGGGGAAGCCTTCTCCTGCCAGGACTATTTCAAGCAGCGACACTTGAGACACCGTCAACGCGTCCCTCTGCCTCAACACCCTCTTCGTGAGGTAACTTCTGTGCGCAGAACCAGTGATGCGACCGCTCTGCAGGATCTCGTCCACCCCCTCCAACTGTATGGTCCCTTTGCAGAAGGCTAGTGCACTCCTGAAACTATTTGCACGAGTGGCGGGAGCTCCATCTTTCCGAAGCTGGTCAACGTACTGGTACACTTGGGCCTCGACAACTGGGAAGGGTGGAAGACCTTTGGCCCTCGCCCACCTGATGTAGATCATCATGGCACTGAGCCTCACTTGCAGTGTCGCAAAGATGTCCTCGAGCACTGACTCAGGGGTCTGATCGAGCATGCCTGCCGCCTTGCACGACTTCCTGGCCTCGTCGATCACGATCTTCCACCCTTCCATCACTTTCTCTTTCTGTTTCCATGGCTTTGGACCATGGCATCCGATGACTTCCATCGAGCTTGAAACTCGGCACCATCTTCCAGGCCTCCTCAACCTTCTTGATCTCGGGCTGCACGTCCTCGTCGACCTGGATTGCATGTGGGGCTCTTGTCTTCTCGTCCAGGAACTTGGTCTCCATAATTGACGACTTTCGTTCCAGCACGAGACCTGCGAAACCTTTCTCCCATTTCATCTTGAGCTCGCCCGGAACGTGGAACTTCAGCTTCTGCACCTCAGAGCGCCCCATCTCATACTCATCACACATGATGGGGTCACCTGCCACCGGGGTCTCTGCATTCTTCGTCTCCTTCATGTTCTCGACCAACTTCTTGAGGGCCTCCAATGGACTCATCTTCACATGCTCATGGTCGCTGTTGGAGTCGACATCCATGACCTCAGTCGGGGACCCTGATCTGTCGCCCTCACCGTTGCGAATGTCCTCAGCTCTCATGCCCTCGAGCTCTTTGAGTCTGGCCGCCATCTCATGGATGTTCTCCACCTGCTCGAACTCCTGGGTGGCATCCACCTGCGTGACCTCCATTCCATTGGCGTGCCCTCGTCGTCCGTCACCACAATGGGCCCCCCCGCACTACCTCCCCCTGGCTCGGGGGCCATCGCATCATCCAGCTCCATGGCTGAAAAACAACAGAGTGCGGGGGGGGGCCCCTTACTTGGAGCCAAAATGGCACGTGGATTCGACCGTGCGTCACATCGTTCCTCCCTGTTTCTATTTGTCAAAATACATCATCACTACGTGACAGATTGCAAGTTTCTAAAGCACAAAGCAGTCAGAGTCTCAATAGCTTCTACAACATGGCCTTGTCAGGAATTATATCAGAATTACACAACAGAGGGGTGGGAGAGAGGTGTGGGAGAGTAATGTGCACGGCGGATGTACGAGGTATTGTGCAGACATGTGTGTACAGAAACAACTAGCCGAAGTAAAACCCCATCGCTCTGCCGACGTAAAACCCTATAGCCAAGCTCTTTTTCATCGCGCAGACGAAAGCAGGGCGTGTTCGTGAACCTGGGCGTCGTCATGAGTATTACATGCAATCTGCGTTGTGCCTGCACAAAATCGGAGTGCAATCTGACGGAGTGCAATCTGCACATGGAGGTTCTGACGGAGTGCAATCTGCACATGGAGGTTCACAAAGTGCTGTGCCGGCTACGAATTCTGCGCGTCAAGAAACAAGTGAATACTCTAATCACAATGGAGGGACGGACTGGCGACCACCGCAGACAACCGCAGACAACGCAACAGCCAGAGCCTCTAACGGAGCATGGAGGTTCACAAAGTGCTGCGCCTGCCACGAATTCTGCACATGGAGGTTCACAAAGTGCTGCGCCTGCCACGAATTCTGCACGTCAACAAACAAGTGAATACTCTAATCACAATGGAGGGACGGACCGGCGACCACCGCAGACAACGCAACACAGCCTCTAACGGACCATGGAGGTTCACAAAGTGCTGCTGCACGTGGAGGTTCACAAAGTGCTGCGCCTGCCACGAATTCTGCTCGTCAAGAAACAAGTGAATACTCTAATCACAATGGAGGGGCGGACCGGCGACCACCGCCGACAGCCGCAAACAACCGCAGACAAAGTGCTGCGCCTGCCACGAATTCTGCACATGGAGGTTCACAAAGTGCTGTGCCTGCCACGAAATCTGCACATGGAGGTTCACAAAGTGCTACAGCCAGAGCCTCTAACGGAGCATGGAGGTTCACAAAGTGCTGCGCCTGCCACGAATTCTGCACATGGAGGTTCACAAAGTGCTGCGCCTGCCACGAATTCTGCGCGTGGAGGTTCACAAAGTGCTGCGCCTGCCACGAATTCTGCACATGGAGGTTCACAAAGTGCTGCGCCTGCCACGAATTCTGCGCGTGGAGGTTCACAAAGTGGTGCGCCTGCCACGAATTCTGCACATCAACAAACAAGTGAATACTCTAATCACAATGGAGGAACGGACCGCCGACAACCGCAGACAACGCAACACCCACAGCCTCTAACGGAGCATGCAGGTTCACAAAGTGCTGCGCCTGCCACGAATTCTGGTGACGTCTCGGCGTGTTTTGTCACAAAGTGCTGCGCCTGCCACGCAATCTGCACATGATCTCTGTCTGTGTCGTCTCGGTGTGTGTTGTCTCTGTGTGTGTTGTCTCGGTGTGTGGTCTCTGTACGTGTTGTCTCGGTGTGGAGGGAGGATGATCTCTGTGTGTGTTGTCTCGGTGTGTGTTGTTGTCTCGGTGTGGAGGGAGGCGGCGGGAAGCGGGCGGCGGGCGGCGGATGAGACATAGAAAAGAAGAACCCCACACTAAGATGTAGGGAAGAAGAGTGATTGAAATGAACACATGCAAACACATGAGCATGTGTCTGTAAATAATCACACACACACACACTCCCACTGGCCCCAAAGAAAACACCTGCTGAACAAAGGAAGGACAAGTTGTGCTTGAGGAGGGTTTGGGTAAGGCTCATGCTGTGTGGAGGGCATCCTTTATCATCTTTTGCTTGAAAGTGGTCACTGTGACGCATAAACCATCGATGGATCTCAAATGCCTCAGGGGTCTCTCAACCAGGCTTCTAGTGTCCATGACTTCTCAGCCTCTTCAGGGAAGTCCCAGCACATCCTCAAGTCGCTCAAAAGATATTTGCTCGACTTGAATCCTTTGGGAACGAATCGACATATATAAATTGAATCCATTAGTAGATCTCTTGCTTCAGAAAATTGTTCACAGCTATGCTATGATTGAATCCGCAGGACTTGCCGCACCTGTCAATGCGACCCTGGTCCGTCCTGGCCTCATGTACAAAAGCAATGGTATTAACCAACAAGAGATCGGTGTGACACTGGCGCCCAGGAAATCCACCGCTGCTCCGAAAAACGGCACCAAGTTTGCTGAAAACCACGAGAGCAAAAGCATGAAAGCAACGATGAAGACCCAAACCTTAGTTCCAGGTTCAGCAAAGAAACCCTCCAACAAATGGTCTGTAGAAAGGCGCACGAGTTGGCACCTACGCCTTTTCCGGCCAGGTTTCACCAATTTTTCATGGTGTCATCAACGCCTTCAGGCTGATTGCGAACATGTCAACTGCTGAAATGGTGAAACAGTGTGAAACAGGGAACCACACACCCCAAACATCATCCAACATGAAGAAGTTATTCTTTCCTGCCAGCTGACTAACTTGACATTCTTCAGAGAACAAAGCTGTGTTTACGTGTCAAAGTGTTGGATCCAATGTTAAGGCTGCAGTTTGCTGCATCAAATAAGGAACAAATGCATCGCTACTAGTAACAAGTGCACTACTACTAGCAGCAAGAAGCTACTACTAGCGATGCCCTTGTTACTAGCAATAATCAAGAAGCCATCCAAGATCTTGGACGGGTGTCGCTCCCGTGAGCATATCTTTTGTCCACTGCTCGGTGGATTGACTTGCACACCACCACTCCTTTGATCAAGTACGAGATGAGCATGTGAACGAGCATGCAGCCTGGCAAACGGGTCGGGAGTTTCATAGTAGTTTCTTGTTACAAGTAGCGATGGCCTCCACCCTAGTAGCTTCTTGTTACTAGTCACTTACTAGTCTTGCTTTAAACATTATCATTAAATTGGATCATCAAATCATATCAAATCACAACACTCCTGAAGCTAGGCCCAGCGGTTTTCGCGGGCCCATCCTGCAGCAGCTTGTAGAGAAGGGCCGAACGGCAAGTTCTCATTCATCATCCCGCCCACCTTGTTGCCCATGTACCAATAGCCTGCAATGCCTGCCAATGAAAACATCACCAGCTGGAATGGGGCAAAGTAGCCAGCATAGGCCTTGGGCAATTCCATTGGATCTTTCATCTCGGCGATGATCTCCAACAGCATGAACTGGGAAGTCATCCTGAGATCGCGAGCCCGTTTTCGGTTCGCAAGGTCTGCACAATATCAAACACACACACACACACACTTGGCAAGTGTCTGCCTTACAAAGAAGGGCCCTTTGAAGGGAATTAAAACATATTGTCGCTGTAGCACGTGCAACACCAACAAATGAGCATAATGATACACATGTGGTTGGCTCTCTAGTTACATATATAACATTATGTTGTCAGCTTCGTCAGTCTCTATGTGTATAAATTCCCAGCATGTGTCTAAAAGCAAACCTGGTTGGTGTTTTCAACCCACTTGAAAATTTTTAGTCCAATCATCCCCAAGTAAGGGTTGAAATTAAAAATATCTGAAACCATCACCTAGAAATTGTGCTTGTACATATCCAAACGCCCGCGAGAGTTTCACTGCGGCTGCACTACACAAAGAACGGCATGAATCATGAGCAACATGTTCCAAAAACTCCCATAGGGTGGTCATGGCTCATGCTGGACCCTCCACCAGCAAAAATTGCTTTACACTCCATGCATCCCAAAGAAAAAGGTGGATAAGCTGCTCAAAATTTGTCGCGGCGACAGCTCGCTGACGGCTTCCACATGACTTCCGGGCACTCGGATCTTCTCAGTGCCATTAAGGGCATAGAAGCATAAGGGGATGAGCACCGTGCCCATCAAAGAAACCACGTTGATCCAAACTAAGGATTGCCAAGAGCCCAAATGCCGGGCACTGGCGGCAAAGGGAAACAGCAAGAAAGCGGCATAGATCATCCAGTTCGGAAGGCAAACATGGACATGGTGGAAGATCATGCCAAAGCCCTTCCCAGCACTCAAAAGGTAAAGAACCATCATGCCAAAAAGGAAGGATTTCTGAGAAAAGCTCGTCAGGTGAATCATTATCTCTTGTTGCCAGGCTGGGGCTTTTGCAAAAGCTCCCTGCACTAATGCAGTGTAGGTGGTGGCGCCCACACACGTCGGGCAATTCATTCGAACCCTCCACATAACCATGGACACGTGCACATTCGCAAGCAAAAGTGCAATGAGGGCTGCAGTACCTGTCTTTGTCCCAAATCTTCTAGGGACGGGATGTTGACCCGCCAAAGCTTACTTTAGAAAATAGATCAACAATATCCCCCCCCCCATGTTGTCGAAAGCCATCAAGACCTTTCAGTCTGCAACGCACCTGCATAGAGTCCAAGGTTTGCCATGGCAGCTGGCATGGCTAGGATGCCGGCACCAATCACATCTGCCGCAATGATGCCCGCAGTCAAAAGCACACCATTGTGGCCGTACAGCTCTTTGAGGTCGCTGTCATCCGAATCCATCGCGTCGTCCGAGTCCCAAGTTGCTGTCTTCGACATGGCACAACGTGGCGTGGAGGCCGTAGGACAAAGGCTGAGATTAACATGAAAACAAACGTGAATAAACAATCCTTGCACCGTGCACCTGTGCATGATGTTGCGGTGTTGTTCTAAGGAACAGGCAATGAGTAGTAGTTTGGAGTTTGCAATTATGCTTGCACATTGGTAAGGTTCACTTCTAGCATCAGTCCTGGCACTGTTCTTCCCTTGATGTGCAAACACTGTTGCCAATGAGCCATGGTCACAGGCTGCTGAACCCCTTGGTGTGAAACCCTGAAAGTCGCTGCACAAACAAGGGTGCGCAATCATGTTGCGTAAGCCAAGCCAGGCCGGGTGCCCTACACGGTGTGCAATGCCCTTCAAGTGGGCGTACTTCAAGGCACTTGCCACCTCGCACAGTAGAGTTATTAAGGACAGTCAATCAGAAATCCAACACACCGATGTTGATTCCGCCGGACACTGAAAAGCCTGCGCCGAGATGTTCTAGGCAACTGATGGTTGGAATGTGATGGACTGTGAGCTTTGCAAATCAGTGTGAATCTTCCACCTGCTTGATGATGGGAGCCACTGTGGTTTCTGGTAGCTTCCCATGGTTCGAGTACCTGGCGAGCCGCGAGTGGTCGAGAACACCCGATAGTGACTAGTGATTAGCGAGCAAGATCACTCAGAAATCTATATATATATACAAAGATAAAAAGTGATGACCTGGAATCCACTCTGGACCATCAGTTGCCGTAAAGTGCCTGTCGAAAAGATCTCCACCTTCACAGAACTCAATGACAAAGTACATCACACGACCCTGCAACGGAAATGGACTAAATGATCACCATGGAGAACTGGACGTGACAATGCATGACATCCACAAATTACAATGTATGCTAGGACAAGTGATTTTCTCACGGGCGCAGGAAAGAGATGCAGTCTTCCCAGTCCAAATCTCGATGATTGGATGGACAAACGGATGACACACTCATACACACACACAAAGTCAATAATGAATAACACACATAATCAAAAGTACCTATCCTGCCCCAAACATATGCAACCGTTGCTACTGTTTTATTCGTGCCTAAGACCGTTAATGGACTAGTTAATCAAGGGCGCCATGTGCAAGCTAGACCAATCTGATCCAAGCATTCGGCAATCTGCTCAAATCGCGTTAGTCACACATGCACCTTGCTGCGCTTCAATACCAAACTACCAAGGCAATCCCCCGAAGCTCTCTTGCATTCTCTTGCACACTCTCTCCCTCTCTCTCTCTGTCTGACTGTTGTTCCAAAGAATTGGGGCGAAAGGCTGGGGGGTTGGTGTGGGTGTGTCTCAGCATCCCATTGGTCCACAGGCAGGCGTCTGGGATTGAAGATTTCTGAGGCATGAATCACGGCACATCAACATCAACCCAGGCGGAGTTGCTACCAAACCTCTCACAATTCAGGGCCTCTTAACGAGTACAGTCTGGGGGGGAACCAGTGCAAAGTGAGCTAAGCGGCGGGCCATATAGGATGAAATGCAAGGAACGGGGACAAGAAATCAATAACATCACTTTGAGTAACAACGCAACAAACGCACCATGGTGAACCTGGCAACTTCCCTTGCACCTGTGCACAAGAACCACCAAAAAATATCTGCCAAAAGCTCAAAGAACAGCCATACCGTCTCTCTCTCTCTCTCTCTCTCGGGGTGGTTCTTTTCCTGTGAATTTCAGATCTGCCCTCAATAGAGTGGTCTTCTGTTCTAGCTGAAACGACGTCGTTTTCATGATGAACAATGGTGCGACGAACCATTGACCATGTTGGTAGGGCAGTGATGGGGTTGTATGGCCAAGGCAGTCAGTCAGAATGAGACCTGAGACAGTCTGACGTGAGACAGCGAAACTGAAGTTTCTGGTGGAACAAAGGTCCAACATGAAAGACAAACGAGAGCACGTTGATTCATGTTGATTCAAGGTAATTACTTAAACCCATTCAAATCCATTGAACAGCACCACCGCTTAAGCACCCAAAGTTCAAGCCTAGTCAAGTCAAGTCCTTTCCTCTAACTTGCTACGAGGAAAGGCAACTCAGCTGCGTGAAGAGACCATGAAACCTGTCTAGCCAAGTGCTTAAACACCACTCCGAAATTCAGTGCCTGCTCGTAAGTCTCGAAAAGACGGCAAATATTGGGATGATCAAGCTTCTTCATGATGAGCACCTGGAGGTCCGAAAGGGACCTTCTCCAGTATACACCAACTTGCAAACAGCAAATCTGCCCGAGTCCCCGCAGCATCTTTTTCAGCATCCATCACAAGAACTGCCCCGTGGCAGTTGAAGCTACGTCCACTCTGTCATGTGAAAGGTGCTGGCAAACTGCCCTTGCAATTGGCCGAACTTCTGTACAGGAGTCACCGAAGCAAAATGTTGAAGCACATGGACATAAATCAAGCAAAAATGAACCAAAAACGCAATGCCTTCTGAGATGAGTTTGAGGCGATTGCATTGTGGGCCCTGGTGCTGCAAGCACGTTGGTCTTGAGCCAGGAACCCTTGTCCACTTCCTTCCCAACGCTGGTGTAGTGTGGTCGGTGTGATTTGTCGCAGTGCCACGCAGTGCCTCAATTCTTGTCTCTGCACTTGAAGCAGCCGAATAGAGCACCGATCTCGAACCAGTCATCCACGGCTGTGACAATCTCACGTGTCTGAGCCGGTTGAAATGGGACCTCAGGGCACTCGCATTGCGATCGTGCGGCGTCCCAAGGTCGAGTGAGATGGGCTTCCTGAGCTCTCAAACTTGCAAGTGAAGGAGCCAGAAGGTCATGTTTGGCCTGATCCTCTGGAGCCACAGGATTGGGGTCATACTTTTTTGGTTCTGCGCAACGGGGAGTCATGACAATTGTAGACATACAGCTCTTGGCGAGGGAGGAATCTCTGCACAAATTACCGTCTTGACTTCTTCAAGGCTTGAGCATCAAATGTACATTTTTGTGGAACCACACGGACATGTGCCCAAGTATGTTTGTGTGTGTCTTTTGCAACAACCAGCCGCAGGATGTTAAAAATAATGGAAGTGCTTCCAATATTCTTGGTTCCTTTTATGATTCTATGCCTTTCCCTCTTGCAGTTTTCATATGTCTCTTGTTGGCCACCAAAAGAAGGCTAAGTTACTGGCAGCCATGCAGAAGCACTCTCCATTGCCAGCAACATTGGGAAAAGAAAAACGACATCACCGTCTTTTCACCTCTTTCTTGAAGGCAGAATCTCTTTCTTCGTCGATCTTCGTCACCTGCAAATCCAAACTCCAGATTTGACATGAGCCACGGTCAAAACTATTTACATGGGCTCATCTCCCCGATTTAGTGAGTCCCCTATCGTTCTACTGGGTGTTTTGAGACATTCGGGACATCCAAAAGGAGCTGCCTCTACATGATTTTGAGCTCAACAGCTTGACTCACATGTCAGCTGACCATGTGCCACACGAGCACCCAAGCACTTCTTGCCAATTCTTTTTGAAGAGATTGGACAGATCTTTTCCAATCTGTCCCACCCAATTCGATACACGCAGCTCAGCACTCTGGCCTTCTTGATTGCGACCTGCCGATCTTTGAACATCCGATCTTTCGCCAGAAAGACCTGGCGGCCAGGCTTGCTCTTGCTCCGTCTGGCGAACACAAACCAGGTGCAAACTTGCTGGAACCTAACAAGAAGCACGACTTTCTGCAATAGCTTAGGCTTACATGTTGTGCCTTTGAATGAGAGGTTGGTTGGAAGGAAGGGGGCTGCCAGGGCTGCCGTATTCTGTAAACAAATTGATAGTTCGAAGCTGCGCCCCGGCCCAACTCACCCTGCTGGTTGGTCACTTTCGTCCAAATGCATTACAGAGTTCGCCCGCACCCCCAAAAACAAGAACCCGTCCACAAGGAGAAGCACTTACAGTAGCTGCGCTCCTGTTTTTTTTCCTTTGAAATCTCATATGAGCCTTGCCATACCCGCCGATGCCAATCTCCCGCATGTCAATGTCATACCTGATAAAGCTCTGTTTCATAAAGCGACTTAAAGAGATAAGCAGTTCATCGGCTTCCAATGTTCACTCTCAAAGCTCCAGTGCCTCAGCTTAATGTAACTCCAACATATTCAATTTGGGTAGACAATGTCAGAAACATGCGCTTGATGTTGCCCACCACCTCAAAAGAGACACCTTGCCTCTTAGAGATTTCTGCGTCCACACGCTCAGACATCAGAGAGGCAGTGTCAAAGGACACCCTGGAAGACCTGTCGCCAAATGGTTTTGAAACCATTTGCGGCCAGTCCTACAGCAAATACATGTATGTGCTGTAAATAGCATTAAACCGACTATACAAATATTGATCTCCTTTCCAAGAGTTGCCTTCCTCCAAATAACTACTTTTGGAAACTGCACTGTGTGTTTGGACCTCCAACTGTTGAGAATGACAAGGGCACAGCACTCCCACGTGAGAGCTGCGCCCCGCTTGACCACGGCGCACCTCTGACCCTCTTCCGCCATGCCCCGTTGCCGACTCTGTAAGGATTTTGTTGACCTAAGATGATGTCGACGTGTTGGGATAGCTCGCCACACGTCACACACAGCAAAAACACACACTTCGATAAGGTTTCATCCAATGTCATAATCCACAGTGAAAGGAACGTTGCAACGGAAAGGTGGCGGAGTCGGCGGAGGTGGAGATGGTTGAAAAAAGTTTTCACTTGACTGCAGAAAACACGCGTGAGACCTATGCAAAGCAGCTGCACAGCCGCATGGTGTGGGGGAAGGTATCATGAGAACCACCATGAAAAACAAAAAACAGCAGCAAAAAGGAGGGTGTTGTCATCCGCAAGTAAGTACACATTCATGCGTCCCTGAATTAGGGATGCTTCCACCAGTCTTCCATAGCTTCGTTGGGCAACGTAGGAAGACCGGTCGTTGACCCCCTGCTTGTTGCTTGAAAAAGGAAATAAACTCCTGGACACGGAGTGGGGCACACACTCTGACATTGGTTTTCAGTTAACTCAATTTCCAGGAAAAATGGTGATGGAACGGAAAGGTGGCGAAG